CCGGGTATCGTTATTCTGAATTTATGAGTCATTTGAGGAAAACAAAAAAACAACCACCCTCTGTGCAAAAATCGATTTGGGATGCCTATTGGAAAGAGTGGAATAAAACAGAGTTCAAGGAGGTCTGTAGAAAACGGTCGGCTAATCGTCGGACTGAGGTGAATGGACCCGGTTCAGGAATGTCTGTCCACAATGGAGGGTCCAAGTCGGCAGACAATTATGCGCGAGAGTTGGTAAAATTTTCATGTGTATTAAAGAAACTTATTTTTTTATAGTCATAATTCTTTTTCGTCTACATTAGAGAAACTTATTGTTGTTGTTGTTTGGTGTTGGTCATTTTGTTAACTTCAGACTCAAAAATTGGGAAGAAAGCCTACCCATTATGAGGTCTATAAGAAATTACACTGGAATGAGGCAAAGGGAAAGTGGACAGACACTAGGTCCGAGAAAGTTGCTGTAAGTCATAAACTACTTCTTTATTCAAGTATTCATCTGCTTGTTTTTTTTATTAATTTCTCAACTTGCATTTCATTTTTTAGTTGGAGCTGGAGTCTCTTATTTCAAATGATCCGTCATTGACTGTCGACTCGAACATAGAAGAAGAACAAAGCAATAAAAGGATCGACGAGCTTTATATCACAGCCGTGGGAGGAACTTGTAAAAAACGACGCCTATACGGTATCGGGAGTTATGGCACATCACAGGTAGCTTCACTTTTCTTTGTTTTATCTTTTTATTCTCATTCAAGTGATTTTGTTAACGCTTAGAATTTGGATTTCGTGGTGATTTTAAGTGTTTTAGTTTATTTGATTATTTATGGGGTGTTTGAGTTTGTGGAATCTCTTTATTTTCTGTCCATTGAAGTTGTTAAAATTTTGTTGGTGATTGCAAATATATTTTTGTTGTGTAAGTGATGGTTATTCATGTATTTAATAATTGAAGAAAACATAACATTTAAGGTGGTGAATTGAAGATTTTTCTTTAGTTTTTTTGCAACAGTAATGGTATGAATTGAAGACCTTTCTATTATATGATTTTTTATTTTTTAGTTTGTTTGCGGATCATATGTACTGTACATGCTAGATCAACCTTTTATATTGATGTCCAAGGCAGTTAGAATTTATCTAAGTTGTTTTCTTCATTTATTTATATTGGCAAATTATTTTTGTAAAGTTGTTAGATTTATTGATTTTAATAATCTTATGCTTGAAGACCTCTTTGGAACAGCTTTCTCATTGCTCCCAGACTGAGTTGGAGCGCGTTCGAGAGGAAGGTAGGGTTGAAGGGCGAGCTGAAGTGCAAGTGAAGTTGGATGAGTTGCAACAACAATTTAAGACTTTCGAAGAACGTTTTGAGATGATGATGTCTCGCGGGAGCACATCTCAAAGTGGCGGTGAGACGAGGCTAAATGACAACTAGATGATTTTATTGTTTGTTTGATACTTGTATTATTTTTATCATATTTTGAATGCGAGTGTTATATTTTGGAGGACGGATTTATACTTGTTTGATACTTGACTTATGACATCAGTTATTTTGGATATAGTCGTGAGACTTTTGGAATTCATGGGTAATTTACTTTAAAATAGATGGTGTATTTTTTTATATGATTTTAGTATGTACTTTTTGAATTGAAAATATATCAATTTTTTTAAAAATAATAATTTGTAGCAAATATGTAGCCCTTTAAAATTTGTAGGTAATCTCTACCTATTTTACCAACAAAATATCTAGACTCAAAAAACTTGTAGGTAACTTGTAGGTACTTGATAATAATAACATGTAGGTAATTTGTAGCTGTTTCAAATTTGTAGGTAATTACTAGCTCTTGGGTTTGTTGGTAAAATGTAGACAAAAATTTTCTAAGTAATTTGTAGTGTAGTTTGTAGGTAATTGCTAGCTATGTTTTTATGTTGGTAATTTCTAGGTATATTTTGTTATTGGTAATATGTAGGCAAAAGTTATCTAGGTATTTTGTAGTAGTGTTAATGAAAACTTTTGTAGGTAATCTGTAGGTAACAGTTTTGTAGGTATTATGTTGCCATATATGTTGGTAAAATGTAGTAATTTATAGGGAAATAGCTAGACTAATATTTAACTACAAAAGTTTCTAAGTATTTTGTCGTAATGTTGATGAAAAAGTTTGTAGGTAATATGTAGATAAATATTTTGTAGGTATTATGTTGGCGTATATCTTGGTAAAATGTAGGTAATTTATAGAGAAATAGCTAGACAAATATTTAACTACAAACGTTTATAGGTATTTTGTAGCAAAGTTGATTAAAAATTTTGTAGGGAATCTGTAGGAACGAGTTTTGTTGGTATTTTGTTGGCATATATCTTGGTAAAATGTAGGTAATTTATAGGGAAATAGCTAGACAAATAATTAACTACAAATATTTTTGTTGGTATTGTGTTGGCATGCTAAAATTTTGTTTTGTTGCAATTGTGTAGTAAATGTCTAGGAAATTTACCTAGACATTGGTATGTGTCTAGGGAAAAATTTACCAACAAGCACTTTACCTACAACAGCATTTGTAGGAATTGTCTAGCTATTTTCTAGGTAAACGGATTTACCTAGAAATTTTTGTCTAGTTAAAATTGACATTTCTTGTAGTGTAACATCTTGATCTTTTTTTTTTTATTGTGCATATATTCACACGATATTGTGCAAATTATTTATCGTTATTGTGCATTGTATCTTACAGAAATGTGCCATTATTATTATTTTTTTTATAAATTACATATTTAATCCATCAATTAAAATTAACTATACTAGAATTTCACAAAATTTAATATGAATATCCATACACATATTATATATATATATATATATATATATTTACAATATACTACATCTGTAAGTTTTTTTCTAAAATGAATACTTAACCATTAATTAAATTGCAATATAAACAAAGGATGAAGATGAAGAGACTGCAAATTGTGAGAAACTGATTGTGTGCGTGGTTTTTGGAGAAAGTTGGTTGAATGTGCCCCAAATGTGTATGGATTTTAGTGGAAATTAGGCAACTTTTAGAGACAAATATGTATTTCCAAGATATGAATGAAAGATCTATTATCTTGTCATCTCCCAGCTTCAACAGCAACTAAACTAACCCTAATTTGAATTTCACCTACACCTGCAACATTGAAATCGGCCTGCAAAATCTTCGCACATCACGCCATTGCAATCGGCCCGAATCCGATCCTCCCCTGCCGGAGGTGCTCAATACAGCAGTCCGTGGTGGTCAGTGTAAGTGTATCGGTGGAACAGAGCAATCGGAATCTTGCGACGCAAAGGACGCATGGCGGACTCGAGTCAATCGGAACTTAGACACGCGACAGCGACGGAGGAGCTGTCGATTAACACAGGGTGTTGGAGACCAGGCGGCTTCGCGCGAGGTGTTTGACGGAGGAGCCGGAAGTCGGTGGTGGAGAATTGCACCTGACTGTCGACGGCGAGGTGGATGTGAACTTGACAGACAGATTGGGGCGGTGGTCGAGTCGGTGGGGGTGGAGCCGTGGCAGGATGTGGCGGTGTTGACAGGACCGACGGCTGCAGTTTTGGTGGAGGCGGTAAATCCAAGGTTGTCGATGGTGATGTCCGGCGTCGTCTGAGTTGTGTGTGGGTCGGGGGCGGCGACCGTCGCCGGGCGGCGGGACTGTTTCTAGGTGGTTGTGTGTGTGTGTGTGTTCTGTCGTCTGTGTGTTTCGCCAATGTGTGTGTGTGTGTGTGTTAGACGTGTGTGAGAGAGAGAAATTAGGTATTAGGTGGTAGATGCAGGTGGGTCCCACTGTTGAGTTGTAATTATTTGAAATGACCACTTTATCCTTAATGACTGGTAAAATGTAAATAATTGACTACGATTTGACCATTTATTTACGAGAATGCCATCCATGTTTGACTACTATTTTTAATATTTGACTTGATCATAGTCATTGACTTGTTGGATCTAATGGTCCATGATAATTCTTATTTCTTTCACTATCTACCATTCTCATATGATCCCAACTANTGGTGTGTCTTAGAGAATGGGTCTTTATATAGCCATATTATCATATACCGGTTCTAGAACCCTACTCGACTAAGATAACAAACTCAAACCGTCCACAGGGCGATATGTTCCCATCGACATATCGCCAAATCGACTTCCGCAAAGTCGACACTACGTAGAACGACTGCGAAGAGGAGAAAATTTGGTCAGTCGACTCTCGTAGGTCGACCTCAGTCTGTCGACTTCCAATAGTCGACATCTGTATAAGAACCACAAGAGCGTAACCTCCGAGCATTCAGATACCCTAAGTCGACTCCCAGCAGTCGACTTCACTAAGTCGATTCTCTGAAGACGACTTCCACTCGAGAGAATTAACCGAGCGTAGCCTCCGAATCCTCATATGATCATAAGTCGACCTCCTAGCTCTTGAGGCCGACTCTGTATACCTCGAAGACTAAAGATGTGATGACGACTCATACACTTGAAGCTTTACATCTTTCAAAGGGATAAAGGAGAATCTTGTGATGACTCAGCAGCAAGAGGAGACGAACCGACCAGCGCATTTTGGACCTTTTAGGTCCACCGACTTGGGCATTTCGGGTACTTAAAGTAAGCATTCACTCCTATATAAAGGGGATGAGGTAACCTAAACCCTAACTCTCATTCATTCCACACTCCTCTCATAGCTGCTGCGCAGCATCCTTCATCACTCTCATACTGACTTGAGCGTCGGAGGCTCTACGCCGAAATTTATATTATAACATGTTTATATTATTAGATCTTGCAGCGTGACTAAAAAATTTATGTTCATATATCCAATATAAAATATTAATAAACGTTAAATAAACATTAAAATATTCTGAAAAAATGAATAAATCAAGACATTTGATTTTTTTCCCAAGAAAAACACATCATTAATATGTGAATCAAACGCTGAGATTCCCGTCTCCACCCTAAACCGACACACCGCCCCTGCCCTAAATGGACGCGTCGTCCTGTAAGAAGTCGAGGACGAGCAAGGGCTCCCCCGTGAAGGACGCGCGCGTAGTTGTGGCCGACTATTCAAGTCTGCTGCCAGTTTTCGCGTCACTGTGACTCCGTCGACGACCGTTCCCAAGACGAGCCCACAACTACAGCCCCTTGTATTTGAAATGCTCGACAGAATAAAGCCACTAGTTGTTGCCGCCTTGGGACGAGCCAAGCAAACCACTGCCGCTCGAAAGCAGAGGCGTCGTTCGTCTCGTCACGCCACCTTGGAAAAACTCCCCCGGTGCTCGATTCTCTGCTACCGGTGCCTGACAGATCGAGTTCCCACCGCCTTCGGCCGAAGCCAGCGTCCGACGACCTCCGCCACTCACAAGCCTGAAGGAACCGGCACACAATCGTAGTTATTTGCTTCAGCCGTCGTAACAACTGGTTGCTGAGCCACTCCACCCCACCGAGAGGTGAGTGGAACCCCGCAGTCCTCTACTGCTGGCTATCATCACTAGACTTCGGTAGAAAAAAAAAAATAAAAAAATAAAAAAATAAAAAAATAAAAAATCAGGGTAAATCTATACGTATATGAAAAGAATAACCTTTTTTCAAACATAGTAGGTCAAATTTTTGTCAAAACTCGCTTATAATTAATTACATGTCATTCATAGTAAGTTTTTTTTATTTATTTTTTCAAAAAATCGGACTGCCTCAAATTGTGGCATTAAATGCTCCATCTCTCATAAGAGCCGGTCAACCCTCCATATCTCCCCCCCAAAGTTACTTTATATATTAATAAACGTTTATTATTATTTTTTCCTTAATAGTAAGATTATTCTTACGGGTATACTTACTAGAATATTAAACACTTTAAAAATTGTTTGAAAATAAATTTAAATTATTTCGTTTTTTACTCTATTTGAAATTCAAAATTAAATTTTTAAATATATTCATAAAAATTATTATTTATTTTTTTCCTTATGTGATATAATCTAAATTTGGTTATTAGATTTTTAAATTCAAACATTTAAAGGAAAAGACTACGAACAGATTTTTTGGTTACATTTTATGTTACCTTAACTTTCATATAATCACATTCCTAACAAATTAATTAGTATAATATTTTTTTATCCACATTTATATAATCGGATTTCTTAAAATATAATTAATATAATATTTTAACTAATTTATCATTTGTATAACTTGATTTATCTCATTAACAAACTTGCCAATTTTTTTGTAATTAAAAAAAAAAAAATTGGATGGTTTTGATTTGTAAAAAAATAGAAATAGCTTTACTTTAAAGTATGATTTTTTCCCATTATGTTTTTGTACATTAACAATCATATATTGGATAATTGATTTAAAAAGAAAATCAAAACTGTAAGGATTCCTTAAATAAAAAATATTGCAAAAAGAGAAGTGTTTAATAATATATATTTTTCATCGTTTGTATTTATTTTATTTCCATAATAGAAGAGATGTGAAAAATATAAAGAATTATATTTAAAATAAATTTTTAAAAAAAAAGTTTAAAATATGTGTTTCTCCGTGCATCGCACGGGATCTACACCAGTAAGTATAAAACTTGGACAAAACAAATGGAGAAGAAAGAAAAGAATATCTATTGTAATATAAAGAGGTTGTTGGAAAAATCCAAAAATAGTATGTTTGACTTAAAAAAATAATGTGTTGACTTACTATTTGTAGTAATTTCGAAAAAAACCATTTGGAAATTTAATAATGCAGTTGAATTAATATTTCCTGGTTTTCATTCCATAGGAGTCGCATTATTTTTTGTAACAAAATTGTACAATCTTATGCCAAATAAAAAACGTGGTAAATTTCTTAAAGAAACAAAATCATCATCCATTCATTTTTTTGGAAATTTAATAATGCAGTTGAATTAATATTTCTGGATTTTCATTCCATAGGAGTCGCATTATTTTTTGTAACAAAATTGTACAATCTTATGCCAAATAAAAAACGTGGTAAATATCTTAAGGAAAAAAAATCATCATCCATTCATTTTTTGTTTTAAAAAGAAAGTGTAAATCTTAAGAAAATCTAGACTTTCGGTTAAAAAGAGTCATCAATAACAAATCCAATTAAAAAAAAATACATGTTTATCTTCTAGATAAAACAAAATCCTAACAATATGTAAAAGGTGATCTTTATCAGTAATATAATACATGCTTAGTGGCATATTAAAATATTCTTACCTAAAAAGATATTCTAAATGATTAGTTAGTCGTGTTTTTTAATAAGATATTGACATAATCCTAACAAATAATAAATCTATTCATTTTAATTATTAGTTATTTAGAATCATAGAGCATCTATACTTTCTCACATTACTGATAAGTAAACAATTAACATTAAGAAATAACAATTTAGAAACAACATCCTGGAGATTGACATAATCACAACCATTTTAAAAATAATTTATCCTATAAATCTATATTTGTACTTATATCTATATCTATAGTAATATAAGTAATATTCTACAATCCACATGTCATAATCATTTTTAAGAATTTTGGTATATCTTTTTAAAAAAATTGGTAAGGGGTTCGAATTTTTTGGCATTTTTTTATAACAACCTTCACAATATGATTGGATTTTTGAGTTTTTTTTATAACAAATTTCATAATTATTTACACAATCTCTGGCCGAAAATTTGTTAAGGGGTTCGAATTTTTTAGCATGATTTTTTTTGTAACAAGCTTCACGATATGATCGGATTCATTGGGCTTTTTTTTTTTTAACAGATTGCATAAAAAGGTTGTTAAAAATACATATATAGTAATTAAAAAATAAATGGTTAACTTACTTTCATAATTAAAAAACACACGTGATAAATGGTTCAAAAATTTGATATTTGGATTGTATATTCCCAAGCTATTTTATTTGGTAACTAAATTGATCCTATTATTATTTTCCACCTAAATCCATGTGAATCTCTTTTAAATTAAAGATTGTTAGGTTTTCAAGACTCAAATCAATAAAGATCCCATAAAATTGAAAAACATTTGAATTTGATAAATGTGAGATTTGAATGTGATACACATATTAAAAAACGTATCAGTACATTTTTGATAAGCAAATCAAATAATTTTGGTAAACCAAATTCAAACCAATTGATATCCCATACATATTTTGTGTATATTTAATTGAATATGGTATCTTATTTTCTTTTTGGAAAAAAAAAAAATTATATGTAAAAACCAATTTATCCCATCTTTTTTTTTATTAGTTTATTAGATCTATTATCAAATAACGTGCACTTTCATGTTTCTTACGGGATATCATCACACTGATTTTGTATCTTTTTTTTTTTAAGTAATAGATTTAATGTTTTTTTTTTAATTTAAGTTTTTTATATTTCAAACAATACAACACATTTCTTATCTTTTTTCTTTTTAACAAAATCGGATAATTTTTTTTGCTTGATTTCAATCCTAGTCCAATTATTTAGGATAATAAATTCAAATATAATTAAAATCCGAATGCAAATCATTTCAACTTTGGTCATCTTTTTATTTTTTTTTTATGAATTAAATTTTGGGATGTATATTCAGTGCATATATGCTATGATTTTTTTTCATGTAATAGTGATACACTCCCAATACAACTCTTTTAAGCAACTCTTGATACACATTAAAAAATGTTTGCTAATAATTATCTTCCGTAAAATGACCCTCTTTGTATTTCTTAACAGAAATCCGTGTGAATCTCTATAATTTGACAGGTTTTAATGTTTTGAAAATTCAAATTAACTGATATCTCATAAAAATTGACATATTTTTAGGTTATGAGAATTCGAATCAATTCAAATTTTTTATCCTTCTTTCTTTTGTAACAAAATTTGTTAGCTTTGAACTTTGTGTCAATTATTATCCAATTAGTTAGTAAAATAACATCAAATAAATTTAATGTCAATCCTTGATTACATTACCAAATATCTAAAAATTCTATTTTTCAAATTTTTTTTATATATTTTTTTTTAAACTTGAATTTATAGGTAGATGGCACTTGCACAATCACTATATAAACTCCACATTGGTGTGATCTATGAACCAAAAATCGACAAAAAATAATGCATCCCACAAAACAAAATTTTGAATCAGTTTTTCCATCCCCATTCAAAATGACTTGTGTTTTTTGAAAAATCAATGATATAAAAGAACTAATAGGCTAATGATCAAGCTAAACATCATTATAATGTTCCAACGCATTGAAGATGAGCGCAATTATCGAAGCGTTCTTAAGATTATATTTCACGATTCTGAGGTAATTATTCCTTATATTATTATTTATATGCATCATTTTATGCTATATTTTTTATGATTTTTTTATTTAATTATTGAATGTATACTTTCTTGGGGAGAATGAATTATCAGTATAATCCGACCCGTCAACATTCCACAATTCATCGACGAAATTGAAGAAGGTGGCGCTTATATCTTAAAAAACTACCAAGTGGAAAGCAATATTGGCAACTACAAATCGACAATTTGCACTTGGAGGATCATTATTTACGGTCAAACCAAGTTTCACAAGTGGAAGGACGAATTCATATTGTTTTGTATATTCTCAATTTTTATTTCAAAATTTTATATATATAATTTAAAATAATAAACTCTATTATGACAATTTAATATGATGAATTGTCTTATATTTTTGTAGATGTTATGGATTGGTTGTTTCTATACAACCTATTCAAATGAAGATTGTCAAAGGAGTTCCTAGCCAAATGATTGTCTTCTCTCTTATGGACTTAGAGTCAGAATTCTTAACATTATATATTCATATTGTTGATCTATCAATATGTATAATAATTGTTTTGAATGTTCTTTTTTAACATATAAATGCCTTTTAATTTTTTTTTTATTTTTTTTTTTTGACATTGTGTCGGGAAAACATGAAGAGCTCTACGCTTTGGGGCCAATATGTTGACCTGTTGATTGCTTTTGAGCATCATTACCAAAATCAAGAAAAACTAATGTACCGTGCGAAGGAGTGGGCAAGTATTTCATTAATTTTAATATACTTGAACTCAAAATAACTCGACATTTAATCCAATATATTTTTTTAGTTAGGTGAAGTTTGAATAACCACATCAAAGGATGTGACCTACTCATCGGTGTTGATGTTTTTGATATTCGAGATTTTTGAAGGAGGTACATATCATTTGGTAAGGTAGTGTTCAATAATATATAGATTTTATTTTCATTATATTTAGTGATTAGTAATGGCTTGATGCTTGATCTTTTCTTTATTATATAATTTGAATTTTAATTCAAAATTGCTTTTTAAAAGGGAGAAAAATAATAAAGCCCTGCTTGATCTTTTCTATATTATATAATTTAAATTTTAATTCAAAATTGCTTTTTTAAAGGGAGAGGAATAATAAAGCCCTGTGCATCGCACGGGTACTGTACTAGTAAGGAGAGAAAGTGGAGGAGATAGAGAGTTTAATTGCCATAAAAAGTAGAACTGTTTTGGCCAAAAATATAATTTAATAAACAGAATATTATTATATTTAAATCAGTAAATAGTATTATGGCAAATAAATATGTTAGTTTTAGTTGTTTGTTAAATTTATATGTAAATAATATGAATGCAATAAAAATGATGATATGTGGCGCCGTAAGCAATTTCCTCTAATTTTAGAGTAATGCTATTTAGCCCACTTGGATGACAACTTGGTTTACAACCCAAGTGTAAAGCATTATTGAAAAAAAAAAAAAATAATGCATTTACACTTGAGTTATAACTCAAGTTGTCATTCAAGTTGGTTCTATAACATTACTCCTAATTTTAACATATTGTCTTCAATTCGTACTTGTCATGTCCAACCTACCGTGGCATAATGGCCCATCATTCTATTTTTTTTTTCCAACGATAGAAATATCTCCATTCAAACAATAAGATCAAATACAAAGTTCGAAGACAACAACAAGATAAAAGCCGAAGGCTAAGCCAGGAAGCATTACCACACTTGGTAGGCTACAAACAAACTAACAACCTATCATAACTAATCACCATCAAAGGCAAAAACAAGCTTCTGAACCCTCCAATGCGATATACAGCTAAGAATCAAAACATCAGATTAAGATTACAGACATAAATGCAACAAACCAGAGAAAACAAAAACACTGAACTGCAAGGCAGACCTATCTATGTCACTCTGAATCTGCTACACCTCTTCATAACTTGTGATTCTTGCCACTCAGTCCATGCCCCTTTGACAATGCCAGAAACTGGCCTCCATTCTCCTTCAAACACCCACAAGTTCCTCGATTTCCACAGCCACCAAAGGATGTAGGTTGTGAGTTCTATTCTTGCTTCATCCACAACTGCATTCTTGATTGAGCACACTGATCCCCACCAATCCTCAAATCTGCTCCCTTCAGCTTCTAATCCATCCCAATTAACCTGAGCTTGCTGCTACACCTTTTTAGCTCTCTTGCAATGCAGTAGAACATGTTCAACTGTTTCCTCAGCTTCCCCACAGCATCTGCATATCACATCAAGCTCAATCCCTCTCCTCCTAAGGTTAACACTCACAGGAAAAGCTCCACTAACACACTTCCATAAAAAATGTTTTAGTTTGCTTTTCACCTGCAGACCCCAGCTTCTCTGTCTTATCTTCTGATTTCTCCTGCCAGTGTTACTTCCCTCAGGCAGATCCATAGCAAGTACCTTCTTTTGATGAAGAAAAGCATATGAAGATGAAACTTAGAACCTTCCCTGCACACCTAACTCCCATCTCCACTTATCTCTCACCATCAAATCAATCCCCTGAATTTGTAGTATAGCATCACAATCCTCCTGTGCAATCAAATCTCTCACCCTTTGGGTATTCCATTTGTTGTTGTTGCCATCAAGCAGTTCCTGGACAGATATATCTTCCCCTTCAACACCTTCCTTCAAGTGGATTCTCCTGCCTCTAATGTCTGGCACCCAATTATAGTCACTAAGCTTAACCGATGCTCCATCTTTAATTTCCACCTGCAGCCCCTCCCTCAACAGCCACCTCACTTTCCACCATGATCTCCACATCCAGGAAGAATTTTGATTCAACTTAGCTTCAAAAATAGATGATTTAGGGAAGTACCTGCATTTGATGATTTTACTCATAAGCAATTGAGGTTGAGTAACTACCCTCCAGAGCTGCTTGACCAGCATTGCCTCATTGAACAGCCCCACTTCCTTAAATCCCAATCCACCCTTATCTTTGGCCAGTGTAAGGAGTTCCCATCTCTTCCAGTGCACCCCTTTATTCTGCTCCCCTTCACTACTCCACCAGAAATTGGCGAAAATGCTGCTCACTTCCTTACAAATGCTAGCAGGCAATCTGTAGCATGACATGACAAACAAGGGAAGAGCATTGAGCACGGCTTTAATTAGGACTTCTTTCCCTGCAGAGGAAGGTACTTGTTCTTCCAACTGACTACCCTTTTCCTCACAGCCTCAGACACAAAGCCAAACACTTCTTTCGTTGTTCTCCCAATGTCAAGTGGCATGCCCAGATACCTGGTTAAACTCTGAATTTGATTGCCAGGGAATACACTCACACTTCCCTCTGAGTAACATCACTTGTGTTCCTGCTAAAGAATATGGAAGATTTGGCTGTATTCACTTTTTGTCCAGAGAACCTTTGGTATCTAGAGAGTACAGATAATAACACATGTGCCTGATATTTAGTAGCTTTGCAGAAGACTAAGGCATCATCTACAAAGAATAAGTGAGTCAACACAGGTGCACCTCTAGCCACAGACACTCCCCTGAAAACCCCTCTTTCCACTTCATTTGCAATCATAGAATAAAGGACTTCAGCAACTAAAATGAACAAGTATGGAGACAATGGGTCTCCTTGCCCGAGACCTCTCTGCGCATTAACATATCCTGAAGTGCAGCCATTAATAATGAAAGAAAAGGACACTGTTGACACACATTCCATAATCCATTTCACAAATGTAGGGGCAAAACCCATCTTAAGCATGGTGAGTCTGATACAAGACCACTCAATCCGGTCATAAGCCTTCATCATGTCTAATTTAACTGCCATAAAGTTATGTTTCCATGTTCTGTGACGATTTAAAAAATGAAGCCCTTCATTTGCAATCACAACATTGTCAGTCAACAGCTTTCCCGGCAAGAAGGCTGATTGGGCTTCATTTACACATTTATGCACACAGTTCCTTAATCTCCCAGCCAGGATTTTTTATATTATTTTGTAAACCACAGCACACAAACTTATCGGTCTGAATTGGCTCAAATTCTCAGGCACAACACATTTAGGGATGAGTGTAATTAAAGTGTGATTCCAGTAGGGAAGTAGCTGACATGATTGAAAGAAGCTTGAAATGGCAGAGCACAAGTCCTCTCTTATCAAGGGCCAGAAATGTTGGAAAAATAAGGCCGGCATCCCATCAGTACCAGGAGATTTCCTGGGATTCATAGAGAAAAGAGCTTGTTTGATTTCTCCTTCTTCAACAGGTGCTAGCAGCTCCTCATTATCATCCTCAGTAATGGAGGACTGCACACAGTTCAGAACCCTTTCACCCCCCTCTGATCCTTCTGATGTGAATAGTCTAGAGTAGAAGTCTTCCACATGCTTTTCAATCTCTTCCTTGGTCTCACAAACACTGTTTTGCTCAGTCATCAACCTTGATATAACATTTGTCCTTCTCTGGGTAACCCAAGCATGGAAAAAGTGGGTGTTGTGATCCCCCTCTTTTAACCATTCCACTCTTGTTTTTTGCTGCCAAAACAGCTCCTCACTTCTGTTTGCTTCATCCATCTCCTTCTGAATCCTATCACATTCTTCCCAATTTCTGTGCCCTCCTTCCTCTCTCATCTCTTGCAATTTTAAACATAACCTCTGTCTATGCAGTTTTTCACTGGTTCTGAACTCTTTGCTCCAATTAATCAATGCAACTCTGGTTTTCTTTATTTTCTCTTTGAGGTTGATTGTATGATCTCACCAACCCCTTCTCTACCCAGTCACCTCTTGTCTAGCTGAAATCTTCCCTTCTTCTGTTGGTTGTCAGGAGCTTCCTCTAATAGTAACATATGATGGTCTGAAGAGCTCTTGAACAAGGCAGTAGTTTGAGTCAAGGGGAATTCTTCACTCCATCCCAAAGAAGAATATGCTTTATCTAGTGCCTCCTCAACAAATCCCTCATTCTCTCTATTATTGCCCAATGTATAGTGGTATCCCTTTCTGAGCACCTCTTTCATCCCCATTTCAGCAATAAAATTTTGGAATCCCCTCATGCTTGCTTGAGTTCTCTGCCTGCCTCCTATTTTGTCCTCCAGTTTAGCAACATCATTCCAATCACCAATCATACACCATCTGTCCCCCCATTTATCCTTCTTCAGCTCTAATTCACTCCATTGAATTTCTCTGGTCCCTCTATCTGGGCTTAAATATACAAAAATAACCCATCTAAAGCTTTCATTACAATGAGTTCTGAATTCTACCTCAATGTTGTAGCCATCCTACGCCATATTTCTGATCTCCACCTCAGGAACCCATGTAAGCAGCAATCCTCCACTAAGCCCTCTTGGAGCCACCATTAAATTTCTATCAACAAATCCCAAATTTTTGCAAACAGTCATAGTAAACTTATTAGTGTTTTTAGTTTCTGACAAGAAAATAAAATGTGGGTGATGGAGTCTAAGGGACTCCTTGAGCTGAGGAATTGTAGAGGCACCACCCAGGCCTCTACAATTCCACACGAGAGCTCTCATTGGTCACCTTGGGGTCAATTGAGGCTGGCCTTCTCCACCTTCTTTGGACTGCTTTTTGCCTTCTTAGGTTCTGTTCTTTCCACCAAGTTCTCCTCTTCCACTGTTATTAGGGTTGTGCCTCTTTGCCTTCCCTTTTTCATTCCTTGGAGTTGGATTCTTTTACTCTCCCTTTGGTTCCTCTGGAGACTGCCAACTTTATTGCCAGTTCTCTTCTAAGTTTTCTGTTTAGAAGATGTGCTCACTTCTATCTTACTCTCCACTCCCATAGGCACCATCATGAGACTTTGATTAGGCATTTCAGTTCACATCTCCTCAGGCCTCAGGTGGCTCTTGTTCCACCACCATTGTTGGTTGATTAGTTTGCTGACCCAGTTTGATACCCTTCTCCACAGCCCTTCCATGAGAAACTGCAATGTCTTTCCTTGATGAGCTAGATTCCACCATGCTTGGATTCTTAGGTGTATGCTCAGCTCCAGTTCTCATCACCACTTCTTTACCTGTCACTCTACCCACCAACTGGCTCTCTTCTTTCTCCTGAGAGCCATTAGTGTTGTCCTGCTCATCAGATCTCCTTTGCTCCCTCTCAAAAGACTGGCCAGTTTGACCTGGGCTACTAAAGTTCTTGAACTCCCCTGCCTTAAGCCATTCTTCATACTGCTCTACTTTAATCTCCCCTTTTCAATATCCTCTTCTTTACTAAGACAATCTCTATCCAAATGCCCTAAGAATCCACAGTAATAGCACAGGTTGACCAGTCTTTCATATCTAAAGCTTACTGTAATAAATTGCTCTCCCAATCTCAGAGTAGTGCATCGTGGTATAGCCTTAGAAACATCAACTGTTGCAAGCAATCTAATAATGCGCCCTCCCGCTCCCAATGCCGTTGTAATTGTCACATTCTTCACCTTCTTAAACACCTTCCCCACTTTGAGCCCTACTTCCATACTCAACCATTCTAGAGGAAGATTGTGAACCTGGACCCACATGTTAACTTCATCAAAACTGCTATCTGTGCCTTTTCTCCACTTCTGAAGCACTAGGTATTGGTTCTCAAAAATCCAATTTGTTCCCAGCAATACCTTTTTCATGTCTAATCGGTTTTCAAAGATGAACTAGAAGTAGTTGTAACTGATTTCTCTAACCTCCATTCCTTGCTGCGTTCTCCAGATGCCTGCCATTGTTCGTTTCAGCCCAACCAATGAAGCTCTTCCATTTCCAATAACCTTCCCCAGAAGGCTACGCTTACACTCCTCAGCACTATTCTTGATGTCGTCGTTTGCAATATCAATCACTTCACACTCCACACCTGCTAAAGAAAAATTTTTTAGTCGATTAGCCATCTCCTCCTCAAACTCTCATATTCCTTCTCTGTCTCCCATTTTACCCGCGGCCCCAATAACCCTATCGCACCCCTCTGGATAAAATCTAACCCTCCCCAAACAGCTTCATTGCGCCCTCACCCACGATGGAATCTATCCCCTCACCCGACGGAATCTCAAAAAACCCTCACTCGACAGAATTGCCCTCTCACTTGAGAGAATCTTGTTTTTCAGTTATGCCCATCATTCTATAAACAAATGGAAAACATAACAAACATTAAAGCTAAACTCTCAGTTTGTATTTTTAGTTTGGGTTCTTCTTGTGTAGTAGTTCTAGTTTAGTCTTGATGGATTTGGAGGAAAAACATTAATTTGTTACTTCTGTGAACTTATAATCAGTTGATTATATGCAATTATATGAGTTTTAATGTTATTATGTTTCGTTTGAGAAAAAAAAAAAATAACAAACCTCATGCCCACCCATACGTTTCAACTATTCATTGGATCGACATTAAAGTAAAAAAAGAAAAAGAAACTCAATCGCTATTCACCGCCCCCCTTTTACTAGTCACCGCCCCCCCCCATTTACTCTTTTGCCCTTAACTCTTTTTTGGATTTCATCTCTCTAAACTTTATCTCTCCAAATTTTTCGAACTTCAACGAACGATTCGAGCATAAAAAAAAATCCGAAAAAATGTCGAAAAAATTCTACGGCCTCGGCAAAGGATTCTTCTCCAACAAGGTAATTTTTTTTTTTTTTTT